AACTCACATACGTGACTAATGACCAATTAGTTTTTTTTTAATATACATCTACCATTTGATGGGCCTTTGATCTTCTTTCACGTTCGGGCCTAAATTGGGCTGAAAATCGGGCTCATAATGGATACTACATACTCCCTCCACGAAAATACTTCAATTTCCTAAAAATAAAACATAAAAATATCAAAGCACTTTAATCCATCTAATAAATAAATAAGCTGAAAAATATATAAGTGCGATAACATCAAGCATATAAAAATACGCTAATAAATATATAAAATACACACTTTTTTCGACCAATCAGACATCACTTTTGGGAGCTTGAACTACCACAACGCACCCACGGAAAACACGCGTAGAAAAAGATAACACAACCTAAATATGATAGACTAAAGCCCTTCCCACAGCCGAGAAAGCACCGATCGAACTACGACAACAACACCAACGACCGATCACACAACTAGACCGAATTTCGCCCCAAGTCTCAGATCCAAAAACTGCAACAAATGCCTAGCTAGACCCAACACCCAAGAGCTCGATCCCGCACCCAAGTAATCGACCTACCCCCAGTCGAAGGACAATGAAGCCATCCCCCACCGCATCACCACCGGTCGAGCCCAGCCCACACCACAAGCCAGGCTACAGCGCGCCGGTCTTCCCCTCGACTCTTGCATCAGGGGCAAAAGGGGACAAGGGGAATAACCCACCATCCTCCCTCAGCTCCAGCCACCACCATACAGCCATCAGAGCCACCGCCCACCCCCACAGAAGTACCTGCGGCCGTCGCTACCGAGCCGCCAGGGAGATCACTACCTCATTTAATAAGGCATCCAGGGCGTCGATATCCTCTATGGACCAGGCAACTTCCCATCGACTTCGAGAGAATGACACAGACGCGAAATATGGCTAAGCCGTGCAGCTAGGGGCTTGTCGCCTCCATCGGCCCGACTGGGGAAGGCGAGACGGAAGGCTAAAATGAAAGGGGCGAGAAGCAGGTCGATTTTGGGGGAAAATGGATTTTTGTATTACAAAGACATTCAAATAATCTAGAACTAAAATTCACATAACACATTTAACTTTATAGTGCACTTCTTCGTTTCAGTTGTTCAATTTGGTACAATGTGAAACAATTCGATATAAATATGTGTGAAATCTCTATAATCATACCGATTATTATTATTTTTTTACGAAGTTAAACATTCAACAATTATTATTCGATTTTGGGGTAATTTTGTTCAGTACTAGGACACAGATCAATCAATAAAACGTAGCAACCGAAAAAATGCCATTACATCACCGAAAAAATGTCACCACATCATTGTTTTGCAACCTGAACAACGGGTTGACCCGAAGCAGTATCGGTCTGGATGGGTGATTTGGGTCGAACGACAACAAACCCAGTCAAAATCATGTCAATTTGAAATTGACCCGGTCGACCCAGGCATCGACCTGTCCAGGTCAACCCAATTTGACCGGTCATTTGTTTTTTTTAACACTTTAATGAAAATAAAATAAATAATATTATGATATTTTTTACTGATTGATTCATAGGCAGGAATTACAATATTTATTTATTGTGTCTCATAAAATCAGACACATTAATGAAAGAATAAAAACGGTACCGCAAAACTGTAACCGTTACTCATCCATCGCTCTCTCTCTAAACTCCCAACCAACGCACAAACTCTCCACCACCACCACCTGAAATCCACATCTCCGCCGCCGCCACCTCCGGGAATCCACCCCTTCTCCGGCCATGAAGCAGCTCCACAAGCAATCTTCCATGCCCATCTCCCACGCCTCCCCCCATCAGCCCTACTCCCCCAAATCCCTAAAACACCCCCGCCCCCTCCAGAAACCCCTCGCCTACCTCCTCCGCGAGCAGCGCCTCCTCTTCATCCTCGTCGGAATCCTCATCGGCGCCGGATTCTTCCTCTCAACCTCGTCCTCCTCCGACCCCCGCCCCCAAATCGTCTCGTCGAACCGCGATTCCTTGGCCCACCGCCGCGATCTCGATCGGGGTGGGTTCGGAAAATCCGGCAGCGTTGGCAGAGTTCCGGTTGGGATCGGAAGCAGGAGGAGGAGGGTCGTGGTCACCGGCGGCGCGGGTTTCGTCGGGAGCCATTTGGTGGACAAGCTGATCGCCAGAGGGGACGACGTGATCGTGGTGGACAATTTCTTCACGGGTAGGAAGGAGAACGTGGTTCATTTGTTCGGGAACCCTAGGTTCGAATTGATCAGGCACGATGTGGTGGAGCCGATTCTGTTGGAAGTCGATCAGATCTACCATTTGGCCTGCCCTGCGTCGCCAGTGCATTATAAGTTCAATCCAGTCAAGACTATCATATCCTTTTTCTCTGTGTGTGTGTGTGTGTGTTTTGGATGCCATGGATTTGATCTTAGTATTGCTTTTTGTGGGTTGTTAACTGATTTGGAAATCCTAATTTGATTAATTTTTGAATTGCTGTTGAGATTGCTGGTAACTATCTGAGATGTGTGTGCATGTTCATGTTATTGCATTTCTGATTAATTCATACGACATTTATGGTTCGATAATGTTGGTGAGTCGAGTATGAGAACAGAGCAAGTGGAAGCTTTTAGCTGGGTTTCTTATCTGTGTATATTTCTGTTTTGATTTCCCTTTTAACAGGTTAAAAAATATTTATTAGTTACACCATTAATTGGTTGAGATCCTTAACTGTGTGATTACAAAACTAATGTGATGGGCACGCTTAACATGTTGGGCCTCGCAAAGAGAATTGGTGCGAGATTCCTAATCACGAGTACAAGTGAGGTGTATGGTGATCCTCTTGAGCATCCACAAAAGGAGACATATTGGGGACATGTAAATCCCATTGGTATGTGTCAACTCACACTGAATTCTCTGTTTTTCTGATAGTTATGCAGTTAAAATGAGTTTTTAATTGGATGATTTAATGATATTAGGGGAAAGGAGTTGCTATGACGAAGGCAAGAGAACAGCTGAGACTTTAGCTATGGACTATCACCGTGGAGCAGGTGTCGAGGTAATTTTTATACCTCATAATACTTCCACTGGTTAAGAAGCTATGGGCTTAATGTGTTGGCTCGGGCTGTCAACATTTGAGTTGAATTTTTTCAAAGTTTGATGGTTTCCTCTGTTTATATGTTTATAACTTTGGTAGCAGAAGTTCTGTAGCACAAGTTAATCCTGTGTGATAGAATGGGTTAGTTGCAATTTTTTGAGAATATTGATACAAATATCTAAAGGAAAGATGTAGAGTAAGTTCTCTCTGTAACTTTCTTCCTCCCCGGTGTTGTTCTAGTGACTACTTTTGATTGAAGATAGAACTTATGGCGCGCATGACTACCGAACAATATTTTTATTTTTATTTTTTAAATGGGAGCATCATAGATCTTGTAGGAACATGCTTAGTTTAGGGATTCAATGCATAAATTTTGCTTCTTGTGATGTTTATTTTTAGCATGAAGTTGCTGGTTTCATACTTCTGATAATATGCTACTGGAAGTTGATACCTTGATAGCTCTTGTTCCTTTACAGGTACGTATTGCTCGCATTTTCAATACGTATGGGCCCCGCATGTGTCTCGATGATGGGCGTGTTGTCAGCAACTTTGTCTCCCAGGTTTTTTTTCCCATATTAATATTTTTCAATGATCTGAAAGTTTAGGATTTATGTTGATCAGCGATTCTTATTGCCATGGATTTTTACTATGCAATAGGCAATTCGGAAACAACCGATGACTGTCTATGGTGATGGGAAGCAAACCCGAAGCTTCCAATACGTGTCCGATTTGGTATGCCCATTTCTTGTGCATTTCGAAACTATGTCCTGCATATGAGCTCTCTTAGGCTCGTGATTATGAAAATTGCTTTAAGGGTGTTGTGATTGTGACTTTGTTCTATTTTAGACTAGACTAGCTGCATTGAATTGAAGAACAACTCTCTCTCACCCATGTACACACGTACATTTTCTACGATTCCTGAATCACTATGTGCCTGTATTCGCAGTATCCTCATTGATTGAATTCATGATGTTTACAACTCATAATAACTGGTAGGATTTTTCGAAAGTACTCCTAAAGTTGTTGAGTTTTCTCATTGTGAATCAAAACACAATAATATTCCCTATATGATGTGATAATGTCCGTACATTTTGGAAGTTAGGTTGATGGATTAGTGGCGCTGATGGAAGGTGAGCACGTGGGCCCATTCAACTTGGGGAATCCAGGAGAATTCACGATGCTGGAACTTGCCGAGGTATGTTCTAGGCTCTAGCTAGGTCTGTTAACAAACTGAACGTTTGCGAACAAAAGTTTGTTTGAGCTCGTTCGTGTTCAACAAAAGCTTGTTCGTTTGTTATCCGAGCCGAGTTCAAACAGAAAATTAGGCTCATTTAATAATCGAACGAACACGAGCTCGTTCGCATGTTCGATAGTATTCGCAAACATTAATTTAATATAATTTTATTTATTTTTTATTTATTTTACACGATATTTTTAATAAAGAATCTAAAATAAAAAAATATATATTTTATTTTTTTATTTTCGAGTCCGAACGAACAAATTTCGAGCTAATCAAGCGTATTTAAAAAGTTAATGTCCTAAACACGAACGAACTCGAACTTTGATTAAACGAGTGAGCTCAAACACCATTTTTTGTTCGAAAAATAAACCAACGAACAAGAACACTGTTCGAACGTAAATGAACACGAGCTCGAACAACTCAAGCTTGGCTCTTCGGTTCGATTACAACACTAGTTCTTGCTAGAGCGTTACTTTCCTTTTGATATAAAACTAGTAAATACGTGAAAAATTCTAATTTTGTCCTGAAAAATCAATCATAGGTTGTGAAGGAAACTATTGATCCCAGTGCAACAATTGAGTTTCGACCAAATACTGCTGATGATCCTCATAAGAGGAAGCCAGATATCAGCAAAGCAAAAGAGTTCCTCAACTGGGAACCAAAGATTTCTCTGCGCGAAGGTTTGCCTCGAATGGTGGACGATTTTCGAAACCGCATCTTGAATGAAGATGAAGGAAAGGGGAACTAATAATAACAACATGTCTTATTTATATCGATGTTTTTGTTTTCATAATTGCGAATATATAGGGGAACACACACACTATTTCTGGAGAGACCAATTTTTAGTTTTGAATAATTTGAAAGAATTTTTGTAAATATAGTTTTGCTCCCACACGAATTCGGACTTTTCGCAGCCCTGTTGATGAAATTTATTATGAAAACTGATTCCGAGGGTATTCTGATCAGAACTTGTGCTGCCATTAGTTGTTTGCTTTTTATCTGTTTGCAGGTCTCATTATGTTACTAAGTTTTTGAAGATATCTGACCCTTTTGATGAGTTCAATTTGTATAGACTATAGAGTGATGTTTGTTGGGCTCATACACGTTGATTGTTCATTGTTGGGCTCATACATGTTATATTGTTCATTGTGTATCTTCAAAAATGTGCAACTGTCTTCAAATTCAGCATATAATTTTTTCTGTTCTTCTTTAAAAAGAAAAAAAACCATGTATATATATATATGGGAAATGCTACATGGAACCATTCCGTCAGGCTTTGGAACCGTTGGGTCATCATGTCACCGTCGAGGATAGTTGATCTAACGGTTACAAACCCGATGGAATGGTCCGTTACAGGACCGTAGCATCTCCCCATATATATATTTTGATGGCATGAATTGTAAAGGATCTGAAAAGAAAAAGGAAAGGGAGGAAAAAACACAAGTGCATGAACATAGCATAGGCATCTGATTCCATTTATTTTTTGGACCTTCCATACATAATGGCCTAATCTTTAGACAGATAATATAGCAAAGTGGCTCAATTTTATCATTCACCTATAGAAAGAAAAAATTCCACATGATGACTCTTTTAAAATCAAGAAGCATATGTTCCAAAAGCATCTTAGAAAGACCAGTGACAAATATATTCTGCCCATCCCAAGCCTCAAACAACCATTTGCTTCTCCATGGATGAACCTTCTTCTTCTTCTTCATCTTTCTCTTTTTCATCTTCCATACTTCTCAGCCGCAGCCCGGCCATTGATCGCCACAATCCCATCATCACCGATTCCAGACGATCACTCCCATCACCCACTCATATCCCGCCACGTGTCACCACCAAACCACACCACCACAAGAAGAAGAACAAGAATATCAATACCATTACTATTACTACTCCTCCAACTAATAATAATAAAGAAAAAATTATCCCGACAAAGGAAAACGAAAAACGGGCCGACAAAAGTGCTAGAAAGCCCGATGTCGGAAAGAACGTGAGGATTAGCCCGTCTAGCTCGACAAGGTACTTGCTGAACGAAAGCGTGTTGTTTGAAGACTTGTCGAATTTCGGTTCGGCCCGGAAGATATTTTCGACCGAAAAGCCAAAGGATGATGATGTGAAGGTTAATGCATCATCCTGTAATGCAAAGTCTCCATCTTTAGCTATCTTGAGTCAAAAATAGTAGTTCTTGACTATATTATCATTTTGTTTTTCTTTTTCTTTTTTTTTCTTGTTTTTTTTTTTTGTGTTCGATTTTGTGCAGGTAGTTGTTTTGAGAGTGTCTTTGCATTGCAGAGGGTGTGAGAGGAAAATGAGAAAGCACTTATCAAGAATGCAAGGTTTTTCAGCTCTTCTTTAACTCTGTTTTGCAAAATGTTATATATATATACATTAGGAAAAAGTGGACCTTTTTGCTCTTTACAAAAACAAAACAGGGCGAAAGTAAAATAGATTTGTCGTTAATCCGAGTTTCGATTTTTGCATAATTAAACAGAAACAAAGTACTAACAAGCGTTTATTACAGGCGTGACGTCGTTTGACATAGACTTTACGGCAAAAAAGGTGACGGTGGCCGGGAATATAACTCCATTGGAGGTGTTTTCGAGCATATCTAAGGTTAAATATGCCCAGCTTTGGTCTCCAAACCTGACATCATCATCAACATCATCATCACCAATCAATCTCAATCTCATGAGTAACTCAGAGTTCAAGAATGTGTTCAAAGGATCTTCATCTGTTGGTTAAAAAATTAGTTCTAATGGGTATTAAATTTGGATTTGGTGTGAATAGAGTGCAATTGTGAGTTTGGTGATTGATTTTTTTTCTTATTTTTTGTTTTTTTTTTTATCTTCTTTTTCATGTTGCTGCTACTTAGGAGGAAAATCCACATAATCATTTGATAAAATAATTGACAAAATTCATATGCATGGCACAAATGTAATATAATATGTACATAACTCATACTACTATATATCCCATTGGTTAGCATTAGACATAAATTACATCAGAGTGTAAACGAGCCGAGCTCGAGCTTCTGAACCCTCAAGCTCGGGTTTGAGTTTTTTTATTGCGTAGAGCTCGACTTATTAACTAAACGAGCTGATAATTACTTGTTAATTCATATATTCGATTGAGCCTTAACGAGATAAACTTGACTTGACTCGTTAACTAAAATGAGCTTGATTCGTTTGAAATCTAGTCGAACTCACGAGCAGCTTTTTTACTTTGCTAAAAATTACTATAGTATAATAGATAGAAACAATAATAATTTCAAATTAATTTCAGACCTCAATAAAGTAGGTCATGGTTGGACTTGGGCACGTTTTTAAATGCGCTAACTCTTTTTACAACCCACAATAAGAACATGTCTTGTTCGGACCTCTCTAACGGGCCTAAGAATTCTGCAGGCCCAATAAAACCGAAAAAAAAAAAAAAAGAGAAACAAAAATTATATATAGACAACAAAAAAATCCGACCTGCCGGATTCGAACCAGCGACCTAAGGATGACTTCAGGTATTACCTACTACAGTCCTCCGCTCTACCAACTGAGCTAAGGTCGGGATGATGATAGGTTAGACAAATAAATAAATAACATTGTTTTTTTTTGGTTGGAAAATTTCTTAAGAAGTCATTTTAAATAAAATATGTAAATAAACCCTATATTCAAATCAATTTAAACGTGAAAAAAATTGTTGAAAACGAATGTAACTGAAAAAAAAAAGGTGCAAAAGGGAGCTTGTTGATTTTTTTTCCCTAAATAGTAAACCAATCGTATAAGAAATTCAATCTCATAATTTAATGACATTCATGTACTTTCTATTTGATGATTACAATAATTCTCATAATAAATTTGAATTTTATTCTTGTCCTATCCATTCACCAACCCCCACCACCTATATAAATTGCCTCTCAAAAACAAGAATTGTGACAAAAAAAAAAATATATATATAAAAAGAAAACCAATCCTCTAATTCTCCCCTAAAAAATTAAAAATTAAATATGGCCACGAGAATAATGAATATTCTCGTATCCATAGTTCTTTTACAAGCCATTCTCGTAACCACAGTGCTAGCCTCTGGCCGAGAGATTTGGTTTTTCGGACAGCTTCCAAAAGGGCCCATTCCCCCATATGGGTTAAGCGCTGGCCCACGGTACAACCCACCTCCTTCGCTTCGTAATGATCGTCAAATGGAGACAGGCACCAGGCAGAAAGTATCGTTCGGGAAGCTGCCCAGGGGGCCGGTGCCTCCATCTGGCCCATCCCCCGAGTGTCCGCCGCCACCGTTTGGGCTCAGATGATGGCGGCCCAATAACATAGAGTATGGTAATACATGCACGCATAATCCTATTTGGCCTATCACACAATTGTGTGGTGATTTGGTTATATGTAAATAAAATTGCAATTTTAGATTCATATGATTGATGATGTGGCAATTTTAGTCTTATTGCGGTCGCAATGGAGACAAATTAATGTGTTGTTTTGTGTCGTTTTGGCTGTCCAAGATATAAGTGTGTGGATACAAATATGTCCGCTCAAACGAATCTTTTGTCAATTAAAATTATATTTTTTTTAAAAAAAAAATCGTATTACAACAATTACTTTAATTTGAAACATAGGCATACTTTAATCTATAATTTTTAAACCTGACCTAGAAATCGACCCGGGCAGTTCTCCAGGTCATCGGGTCACCGGTTCAATCGTTGGGTCACCGGGTCAATTGCTGAACCGAATAATTAATTTTAAAATTTCTAAAATAATATATATAGTATTTTTGACATATAAATATACATAAAAGTAATAAAAATAAATGTTTTGTATACAAAATTTGTACATTTAAGTGTTAATAATATTAAATCTCACAATAAATATTTACTATGTCATTATATAAACATAGTTTTATACTTTTATTGACCAGCTTGACCGGGTCAAGGCTGAGTTGGCCGGGTTTTGGCCGAGTCCATTGTTACCCGATCCAAATAACCCACCCGACCGATTTCGACTCCAGATCGACCGAGTCCCGAGTTAATCCACCTGGCCGGTCCGGGTCACAAAAGAATGCTTTAGGTTATGTTTGGTAAACCAATAAGCTAGCTTATAGCTTATTTGATTAGCTTATAAGCTTCTTGTATTTAAATAAGCTCCGTTTGGTAGGACGAGCTTATTTAAAAAGCTCGAACTTATTTGATAAGCTTTCCTTAGGTAGCTTTTTAAATAAGGTAGTTGAATTTTTTATTCAAGCTAGCTTATTAGCTAATTTTACCAAATACTTTTATCATATAATCTAGCTTATCAGCTATAAATCATGAGCCATAAGATATAAGCTACAAAATTACTTCTAAACTATAAACTAGTTTATCCGCTATCAGCTAGCTTATCAACTAGTTTACCAAACATAGCCTTAATCAGTAAAATACCACGACGTCCCATAATTTTCTATGGGAGCAACATCATAGAAAATGATGGTCCGGATTTTTGCAAAACAAATAAAGTCAACCTTAAAGACCAATTTCAATCATTATCCAATTGACTTTAAATGTACTGATGATGATGACTAAACACAGAGAAAGTATATATGAATTAATGAACAACTAGTACAACGCTCGTGTATTACACTGATACTTACTAATTTTTTTCTTAAAATTTAAAATAAATGAGAAAAGTAGTTGAAAATTTAAATATCTTTTATAAATATATATATATATATATTTACTATGACATTTTTTTATTTGTGCGACTTATCTGTATTATATTATAATAATTTTTTTTAATTTACAACATGTAACTACATTAAATATAGATATATCAATTGAAAAATAATTTTATTTTTCTAATTAATTTTAATAAATATTATTATTTTTTATTATTATAACGATGAATATAATTTATTTATTTCATATGTACAATATGGATGTCAAATCGAAGATCATCAGAAGATGATTAATTTGATATATTATATATGTAAAACCGATAAGAAATACAAAATTTATCAACTTTTAAAATACATTTACAAATTCAATAGCTAATTGTAGGAAGCAAGATATTTTAGTCACTTATGTAAAATTACAAAGAATTAAAGGGTTTTATTAGTACAAGTGATATTAAAATACCTAAGTTAACTAAATCATATTTATAGAATGTCCGAACCTAGATTAATAATTATTAATATATCAATATTATTAGTCTAAATCTAATTACGAAGCATGATTCTTGGCCAAATAAGATTCCGAAGCACCAGAAGCAGCTACGTAAGCTCAGCGAATTCGAGAATTATATACAGGGGGATAACAATTCTAATCACAGAAAAGTGAATTATATATGAGAATTTTTTTTTTTAGACTGTTGACCAAAAATCTGAAACACTTAAATCGTGGAATACAATTTTAAAATTTTCGGGTAATTAATACTTTGGATGGTATTTCCATTTTCTTCTATATAAAAGCTCAACTTTTTGAACATTTCAGAATAACAAGTTGAAAAGATGGAATATGAACTATCTTTTTATATACATGATAATAATTTAAATTATTATTACCTTTAGAAAAACGGATCGATTGAACCGGACCGGCATCACATACGCGTTTACATTACCTTTTCTGTTTTCAAAAGCGTGATTCATAGTATGCACGATTTTCCTATTTAAAGTACCTACAAGAACTACACAGTCTTCACACAATTAAAACAAAAAAACTCCATAAACATGACGAAAACTAAGAGTGTCGTGCTCTGCATAATTGTTTTTCAAGCCATTGTCGTGTCCTCTTTGGGCATCGCACCACGGAAATTGGTTTCCATGCTGCCAATGAAAGGAGTTCCGATCAAGGACAAGTGGGCCAACGTTCGGGTTCTCAACGAAGATGGGCTGAAAGCCAAGTTAGACGTGCAACTCCCAAGAAAGCGCCCCCATCCATCCGGCTCATCCGGTGGTACAAACAAAGCGCCGCCCCCACTTCGCGGTTGACGTGGATTACGATCAATAGTAATATATCATGAATCCTTTTTCCCCATGTTTCGTTTACATTATAAGGAAACTTTTGCTAATTATTATAAGTTACAATCTCTATATAGCTCTTTGGTTGGGGAATTGTAAGAAGGAACAAAGTTGTAAGCTCAATGGATGCTTTAATTTCTTGTACTTTTACCATGAATATTATCGTTGTTTGTGTTTATTTATAATCTTCTCTACTTTACATGCATTTGATTTTTTTCTTAATTTCCGTGTTTCTCTTGTTTTTAGACCATCTTTATTCCTCATTTATACTCTAGTGCATGGTTTACTCTGCTCTAGAGTAGAGTTAACCAAAAATCAAATTCGGCCTCCAAGTTCGCGCTACATTCTACTCCATATATATTATTCATATTATTTTAATTTATTTAACATGTCAAAATATGATTTAATTGGACATATTATTTTATAAAATAAAATAAAATATATCATGATGTTAGCTGATCTTTCACTGGTTTGAAATATTGTTCCACAAAGAATTATTATTTTTATATATTATCTGATTTACTTTATAATAATTCAATATAAAAATTATTTTTTTAATAATAATATTTTTATTTAATTCTCAAATTAAAATAAAGTTAATGGTAAAAACTTTGTCAAATAATAAATTTTAAGATAAATCAATTGCATATAATATAAAAATAAAAAAACAAATAAAAATTATAGAGTAATGAATAGTACCGCGCCAGATGTAGCGCGATTGGTAACACAAAACTTCCCGACCGGCTGGAACTTGA